GACAATGCTAAGATCATGTAGGATATTCAGATCCAGACAGACAAGCAAGTAGTGGCCAATCACCCCAACACCAAGGTAGACAAGGAATAGAAGACTACAGTGGTGGCAATACCCAGTGACCATAGCATCAGAAAGAAAACCCTATTATTGTGAAGAGAAACTAGAAGGATGTGGAAAGCTAGGGCAGTAGTAGTCCCAGTTGTGAGAAGAGCACTCTGGGCTGTGACTCCCAAATTAGGAGAGTGTCTTCAGCAGATTCCATGAGGGTTGTCTGAGATCGTCTTCTGAGATCTACTTCAATCCACTATTTTGTCCCACAATTATCCCTACAATACTATGCAGAACCCTCAGACTCCCAGGCTTCAGGTAGAGGACCCAAGAATGAGGAATACACACAAATACCACTCAAAGGGGTGAGAAAGTAAATTTCATGTATTATATTGATTATACATGGAAGAAGATAGATCCACCTGGCTTGGAGATCCTTAAACTATCAGTTTAAACTAGTTCTTAAGATACACACACAGTTCAGGAGATTCTGATAAGCCATGGATTGTTTGTCTTAAGATCTGGGTTTAGAACTACTTCTTTCACCTGCGGTATAGCAGTATACCAATTTGTACCTTTTCATCCTAGCATTTTAGCTCTGTTTTAACTTTGCACAAATAACAAGGTATATAATTATCCTTATTTATCTACTTTGTTTTCAGAAGACAGAATATACATGCCATGATATTTAATGGATTGTTCTTTATTTGGCCTGAAACTACATTACCTATGGTGTGTTTGCCATCACAGCCTACCTTACTCACAAGAGCTGAGCATTAGCAGTTGGCTACCTCTGTTCCAGCTTTTTTTTTTTTTTTAAATAACACATGTTGTAAAGTTAATCAGGCTTCACTTAATTTTTTGACTTTTCTTTCATTTGTTTGCTAAACTGCAGAGCCCATAAATATTGCTCGTATACAAGCAGATTGACGTCTTTGGCAAATACATTTCATTTTTCACTTACATTTTTCCTTCACAACTATTTTCTGCTAACAGATGCCGCTTAATTTGTCTGGGGACTTTGAACTAATTTAGAAAAGTGATAATTCACTTAGATTTTATAATCCAATATATATAGTATGCATAAATAAGCATTTTTGTTTGTAAAACATAACTACATTCTGGATTTTAGCATTGTTAATGTTTTAATTGGGCAATGTAATTGGTAACTAAAGGGCTAACTGGAAAAGAAATCTTTTTATGAAATGCGCAGTATTAAATTTGCTTAATGCCCCAAAGGACAGGTTCTCGGTAAAGAAACACTACGCATAAACAAAATGTCAGGCTGTATGCACAGAATGACTGATAGATTCTTGGCAGGTACCAGATTTCAAGGGCATGCTTTGAATTCTGACCATATTTCGTATAGTGTACTATAATTCAGTTGTTTCCAAACTCTGCACCGGTGCCACACACAACCCAATGCATTTGCAGCTCTCCTGGTGAACACCTATATGTTATAGAAGTTATGATCTCGCATGGCCTGAGGTCATAGTTCCAGACATCCCAAATCTCAAAATGTTTGTGTGACATCCAATCTGTAGAAAGTCTTTTGGGATCATAGTCCAATAAAGTTTAGCCTCAAGTTTTGCCTGTTTCTGCTGTTGATCAAAAAGGTGGCGAAGAAAAAACAAAAACTATTTTGCAACAATTTGGAAAAAAAATCCTTCTCATTTCCAGAATCTATCAGGACTGAATTAGTCAGGACTGAATTAGTCAGGAGAATAGCAACAAAAAAACAATTATTTTGCCACCCCTTCTTTACCATCAGCCAGACTTGGGTATTCAACTAAATAGTTAATAATTTATGACAACTGTCTGTACTCTATCTTGAAACAAAGTTCTACTCAAGAACAAGAATTTTCATCTAGACCAATTTATTTTAAAGTGAACCCTATCAAAAAAAACACTTTTGCAAAATCCAAGTAGATCACATCCACTGCAACACCCTGATCTTTACTTCTTTGTAGAATGTAAAGTAGTTTGACATAATCTAGATTTCATAAAAGCTAAATTTCTGCTAGTGACATTGTTGTTTTCCCAATGAATAACTGAATATTATCCTTCAACAACCCTTTCCCAGTTACCAAGGTTAAGCTCACAGATCTATAACTTCACGGCATAGATTTTGATTCTCTTTTAATGTAGAAACCACACGTGCCTTTCTCCAATCCTCTGGTACAAATCCTGAAAGAAACCATTCCTGAAAGATTATTTATTTCCACACTTCGTTCCGTATGTACTCGTGGGTGAATACAATCTGGGCTTGGGTATTTATTTACATACCTTTCTTTAGAGTCTACAGCACCCCCTGTAAACTTTTTTGCAGTAATGAATTGTTTATCTCTTGCCATTGGTCCTTTCTTAATATATACTGAAGAAAATTATTTAAAATGTCTGCCTTTTCCTGATCTTTTAGTAAAACACCCATCTCTGATTCCAGTGTATATACACTTTACATTTTAAGTTTTTTTGAATTCATGTACATTTTGGGGTTGGTTTTGCTCACCTAATTGTTCCAACCCTCATGAATCCTGACTAATTGCTGCTGAAATCCTAATCAACAGTCCTTCATTAAACTGCATGATTTATAAGGTGTTGAATGTCACGCCGTTTTTTATTCCACGTGGCGTTCGGCTGTACGAACAGCGGCCGGCCAGGGAGCACCTAATAGCTGGTTCCTTTGTAGTTAATGAGCCAGGAGGGTGGTCGGCATTCGGTAATTTCAAACTACTGAACCAATACATTCAATATACAGGTAATAAACAGGGAAAGTACCGAACAAAGAAGAAAATGTCAATTAAAAGTCTATTTTCTTCACACTCATTTTTTTTTTCTCAGCGTTGCTAAAATGTCTTCTCCATTTACAAATTTAAAATTGACAAAATAAATCATAGCTCTTTTCATATCTATATAAGCATCTTAACTTAGTCATCGTTGCTTTCATATTTTATTAATCGTTTAAGCATATGTTTAGCATTGTATATATGCATTTTTGCAAATCTTTGTTTTGTCTCTTAATTATTCCCATACAATGTACTGACTTTTTTTTTTGCTTTCAGCATTTCAAATGTCTTTAGTATTTGCACATACTTTAAACCCTTCTCTTCCAAACCCATGTAAATATGGAAAAAAAATGTCATGTTATCATTGCAAAGATGTGCAAAATTACCTGTATCCCAGGGAATTCCCATTTATTCTTTTTGAAAACAAAAATGTTAAAGTATTTGCTAGGACCCTGGTCAGCCTACCCACTGGCACTACATTTTTTGCCCCAGGACAAATCTCTAAAAAAAGAGGGTGTCCTAGAAAATCATGAACATTAAATGGTCTATTTACAGTAAAAAAAACAAAAAAAAAAAACACCTAAAGACAGACAGGAGTAATTCAAGAAATTACTGTAAAATACTAGGTAAAAAAAAAACTGCTTGTTTTTTTAGTACACCCGGGCAATAACATGGACTCCAAGTGTTCATTAATTGTAACCTGACTCCACGCCGCCCAACATTTCCACTTTCAACAGAACAGTCCAGATGTTGAGGTCCTGTCCTGCAATCCTGCTTTAGTTCCCTAGCTGTGGGACACAAGGAAACGGTCTCCGTACAGCACAGCACAGCACTGCACAGCACAAGTACATTATTAGATGAGCTCACGCTGTGCAACAGGCACAATGTTACAGCAGCGCTCCCTGCATGGTCCAAAAATGCTATGCATCACTATTGTGGGCTGTATCAGTGGCCAATGGGTTGCATCACTGCCCATCCCATCCTGATTGTTGGGAGGTATGTAACTCAGCAGAACTAGCAGGAACATATAAAACAGAATATCCTACTTATTTAGTAATAGCAGAGTAGTTTAATAAGTGTAATGCCCTTGTATGATCTGTTACATATTCTTTCTCAACCTTGTGCACACTTGTGCTAACTTTATAGACATAACTTAACAGACATTTCAAATAAACTTCATAGGTTCTTGGCCTCTTTTGTACTGGAAGAGTATTTGCAGTCTGACAATCCAAATTACAAAACAATACTAGCTCTTGAACAAAGTGTATTTTTCCCATTTACTGAACAGTTATTGTAAAGAATAGAGCATTCAAAGTATCAGTATAAGAAATAAAGTAAGAATCCTTACAAAAGAGCATATACCATGCATATAAGAGAAGACATAAAATGACATTAAAAATAAATATAACAAAAACCCTTACTCCTGAGTTGTTCACACACACCCAGGGGCTTTCACCCCCCTCCCCCTTACTGCAATCTCACCGAGTAGCTAACCACACCAGCTTGCTACCACCCACACATATCTCACAGGATATCGGCCTGCCACCCGTGCACACTCACATCGAGGGCCGCCCCAATTTGTGATGTCACAACAGGTCCCACTATATAGTCTAGCGGCACTCCGCATTAATTAGTACTTATTAACCCTGCTCATACGTTCACCTTAGTTAAGCTCATGCCCCAGTGGACCTTTTAGGACCATTACCTGAACATACCTTATGTGACCCAGCAACTGCACAGTTTATTTGGCAAAGTTTAATTTCGGCTCATCAGTATACATACCACGAGAGCCGATATACCCATCGTTAACCATCGATTATTATATTTTAGTCAATCTTATTCTGACAACATTACTATTAGGTCAAGCTTGTTAAAAATATAAAAAATGTGCGACCCTTCACCATGTCCTACAAACGTATCATCTTGACCAATGTTAACCTTGTAAATGCTGTTGGGGCATTGAAAAACTGTATGTCTCTTTCATGCACAGAAAAAAATAAAGAATTTTAAATAAATAAATAAAACACGAAAATACAAAATTCAGACATATACACTCATTTTCAGACACTCATTTTCAGAAATAAAGATCAGGCCCTGCCAAATCTTCAAAATCCTCACATAGAGAAATTCGATTTTAGACCTGTGCCTGTTAGTGTCAGCAGCGATCTGATACTGCGGGGAACATTTTATGTAATTTTGTTGGGACTAAGTACCATCTGTACAAAATCTTTTTGGTCAGTTCTATGTGTGAAGAGCATAACGTGTATTTTTTTTGAGTGGTAAATAGTTTTTCCCATTCTGTGTCTGGATAGGTGAGTTTTAGGTCCTTCTCCCAGTTTTGCACAAAAGTTAGGCTTTTGCTATGTGCTCCTGAGTTTAGGCAGTCGTATATCAGGGAGAATGATTTTTTGTTTGGCATTTTTGCTGTTAGTGATCGTTCGAAGCTCATCAGCTGTTGCTCATTTACAAGTTTTATTGCTGGCAGGTAATGTTTTAGGAGCCATGCTCTTATTTGCAGATATGCATATTCAGCTGTGTTTGGTAAGCTATATTGTTTTTGTAAATCTTGGAAGGTTTTGATATTTTTTCCTTGTACAATTTGTGCAAAGTGGTATATGTGGTGTTTTTACCATATATGGGAGTTGAAGTTTGGGATCAGCGACTGTAATGTGGTGATCGTCATCGCTGGTGAGTAAGCTCGTGTCATACATAGTTTCGCTCTATGGGTGTCCCAGATGTGTTTTGTTAGAGCGGTCGTGGGTAACATCTTTAGGTTTTTGGGTTTGCTGTGGTGTGAGATCCACATAAGTGATAAGAAATGATGTCCTGGAGTGGCTGCTGATTCTAACGTCACCCACTGTGGTTTATTTTCTTGTGCTTTTGCTATAACTATAGGGTTAATATTTGCCCCGTGGTAGTATTGGCGTATACTGGGAAGGCTCATGCCTCCTTTCTTGTGGTGTATGTACATTGTTGAATTGGCTAGTCTTGGTCTCTTATCTGCCCATATGAATTTGTTGAGTATATGTTGATTTTCTGTGCAGTAGGATTGTGGTATTCGGATTGGTAATGTCCGAAAGAGGTATTGGTATTTGGGTAGGACTACCATTTTTATTGCAGCCACCCGGCCTGTCCAGGAAATGTATTTTTTGTGCCATCCCTGGAGAAGTGATTGAACTTGTGTCTGTAGTGTTGTATAGTTGGCCTTAAAAATTTGTTGCACTGATTGCGTGAACTTTATCCCTAGGAAAGTGAGTTGGTCCATACGCCAGTCATATTTAAATTCTGATTTTAGGGCTTTTGTATCTGCGTTAGTGAGGTTAATGCCCATGGCTTGCGTCTTAGCCACATTCAATTTATAATATGAGTGTTTACTATAGTCTTCTAGCGTTGATGTGATTTCCTGTAGCAAGATTTTGGGGTCTGTCAGGGTAAGGAGAATGTCGTCAGCAAACAACGTGAGTTTATATTCATTTTTGTGGATTTTTATGCCTTGTATCCGTGGATTATTTCGGATCAGGGCGGTGAGTGGTTCCAGTGCTAAAATATACAATAAGGGGGATAGGGGGAGCCCTGTCTCGACCCATTGGTTATGTTGAATGATTGAGAAAGAAACCCACCTGTATTGACTTTCGCAGCGGGGTTACTGTAGAGTGTTTTTACGGTGTTTAAGAATTGTGTTGGGAAGCAGAATTTGTGTAGCACCCCGAGGAGGAAGGGCCAGTTGAGCCTATCAAACGCTTTTTCTGCATCCAAAGACAGGAATATGCTGCCACCCCCTCCCCGGAGGCTGTGCATTAGATCCAGCACCTTCCTAGTTCCATCCGCTCCCTGTCGCCCCCTAGTGAAGCCCACTTGATCGTCGTGTACTATTGTTGGTATAATAGCGGCCAGTCTGTTAGCAAAAATCTTTGCAAAAATCTTGATGTCCGTGTTTAATAGTGATATGGGTCTAAGATTTTGGCCTTTTACTGGGGGTTTGCCTGGTTTTGGCAAAGCGGCGATGTTTGCCATTAGCATTTCTTGTGGTGTTTGTCCTGATATTAACATAGCTTGAAACGCTGCATTTAGGGGGTGGCTTAATGTGCTGGAGTACGTTTTGTAGTAAGAATTAGGGAGCCCGTTGGGTCCTGGGGCCTTGCCGGACGGTAGTGGATCAATTGTGGATATTATTTCCTCCATTGTGATGGGGTTTTGGAGTGTTTGTTGTTGGTCTGGGGAGAGGGTTGGTAGGTGCACCTGCGAGAGGAAATTGTTTATCTCTACTGTTGTCGGTTGGTGAATGGTTGCGTCATGTTTAAGGTTATATAATGTAGAGTAATATTGTGCTAGTTCGTCAGCTATATGTTGTGGGTTGTATATTTTCGTACCATCTGGTTGAAGGAAATAGAGGATTTTTTGGTTTTGTAGTTGTTGTCTAATTCTGGATGCCAATAATTTACCAGCTTTGTTGCCCTAAGCGTATTCCCTTATCTTAAATTTCTGTTGTATGTACATCGTTTTGTTTACATGCCAGTCATTGATCAATTTTTGTGTTTGGTTTATGGTGGTTTGCAGGGTTGGGGTCGGGGAGAGAAAGTGTTGTGTGGTGGCATCTCTCAGTTGTCTTAATAGTGATAGAAGTTGAGCTTGAGAAGTTTTCATTACATATGCTGCACGGCTTATAAATATGCCTCTTATTACCGCCTTATGGGCGAGCCATTGGGTTAGTGGTGGGCTATCAGGCGTATTGTTGGCTATAAAGTATGTCTGTAGGGCCTCTTCTACCTCTCTTTTAAAGTTATCATCAGTTAGTAATGCTTCATTTAGTTTCCAAGGGGTTCGTCCTCTGGTGGGGAATGTGTCCCTCAGTTGTAGGGTTAGCGGCGCGTGGTCTGACCACACTATGTCTCCTATTTGGCAGTCTACTGTCTTGGATAGCATCGGGGCGGATATTAGGATGTGGTCTATTCGAGAGTGTGTCTTGTGTACTGGAGAGTAATGGGTGTAAGTTTTTTCTCCCGGGTGTAGAGTGCGCCATGCGTCGTATACCTCAAATTCCGATAATAGTTTAGTGATGGCTGTGCATTGCGTGTGTAACATTTTATTTCTGAGTGTCTGTGGTACGGCTGTTGTGTCTCTATCTTGGTCAATCATATGGTTGAAATCCCCGCATATGACGAGCTGTGTTGACCTGAAGGGGTCTAGTTTCATGAGTATTTTATGCAGAAAGTTCCTCTGGTTAGTGTTGGGGCTGTATACGTTTGCTATGGTATATTTAATGTTGTTTATGTTGCATAATAGTATTATGTACTGTCCTTGGTTGTCTGTTAGTTTGAGTAATTCGAAGGTCTGCGATTTATGTATCAAAACTGATACCACTCTAGCTTTCGATGTGTGCGTTGCGTGGTATTGTATTGGGTAATCTTTGATACTAAAGGTAGGGACTTTGGTTTTGACAAAGTGCATCTCTTGGAGACACACTACGTCAGCGTGAGCCGTTTTTGCGTCTTTGAGTAGCATTCTTAGTTTGTGAGGGGTGTTCATGCCCCTCACATTATGTGAGTAGAATTTTATCATTGGTATTTTCTCTAGGTTGTGCAGGGATGTAGTTTGTCTTGTGTTGGGGGGCACTGGTGTCCATGGTTGGAAAGGGAGGTTAAACTTGGATTGTGTAAAGGGTTGAGTCCGGGGATGTGGGTGGGGAAATGTGAATGGGTGGTTTCCCGTTAGGGATGCGATGCCACTAGAGTGTGGGTGGCTAGTGAGCTATTGTACTCCTGGGTATATATAGACATACAGAGTTATTCTGGCCGTGGTGCCGGGTTTTAGGCGTGCATATGAAAGGTGCCAGTGGGTGGGATTGATTTCAGGTGCGCCCGATGGGCTTTCTCCTTCAGTCCTGATTTTGGGCAGCTTCTTATGGAGGTCATAAAACCAAGGTACCAGCAGACCGAGACACTTGTAGTAAGGTCCTGGAAACAACAATGGAGGGGCCTCCTCAGCGTCTCCATGTCGAACACCCCTGGAGGGAAACGTCTATCACTGAGCAAACTGGTCTGTATGCTAGCTGAAACTGGACGGGGCTTAATGGGTCCTCCTCCGTGGGCTAAGGTCCAGACGCCGGGTCTTCCCGGAAAACTATTCCAATCGTATGAGAAACTCAGATGTGGAAAACGTAGGAGGTACCTCCTTGCGTCCGATCCGCCCTCCAGGACTCTACACAGAGGGGGCCAATATTCCATGTTTGAACACGAACTCCAGGGACCCAAACAAGGAAAACGCAGATAGAGTCGGTCCCTTCGGTCTGGGGGGCAACTCTCCGAGGATCCAGCAAGACCATCCCGCGAAACATCCTCGTGGAAAAAACAAGAAGGATCTCTTCGGATAGTTCTGGTATGCCCGAACTTCCTAAATTCATCCAAACCTGCCACTCAGGCTGTATTATCATCCAAATGAATGACGCCCCAGGTCCTTATCTCACCAGGGAGAAACTTGAGCCCACCTTACCAGCAATGGGCCCCGTGGTCCTGTAAGTTCCCTGAGGACCGCGTCTAATTCAATGTAACTAATGGCTATACCTTCAAGCGTAGTCTCGTGCGGGCTCCAAAGGCCTCAGACCCCTTGATCCCAAGCACCTCCAGCGGTCCGAATTGACTAAGATAGGGTCTCCTGTAATCCACAGGTTCAGGGTCCTGTCTGTTATGTCATCCGAAGGTGGAGGCAGCTGTGACATTCTGGGCCCAGGATCCAATCCCTTATAACAGGTACGGATTGGAGCTTTAGATATGTCTTTGTAACGTTTTTTCATATGAAAACTGGGACCCAATATTCTTCCCCGTATGTCCCGTAGGACAACCCACTCGTGTGGGGGAGAACCCTTGGCTTGTCAGTGCAGACTGAAAAGTAGAGTATAGGCACCGCAGCGGGCCGTACTCTGGATCTCCTGTATACTAGACAGGCATTTCCACCAGGAGAGCCGTAGCGCCCCATCGATGTCTAAGTCTGGGCACGAGGCTACTTTGTTCTGGAGCCCGGCCGGGTATACCACTCCAAGTATCTTGCGGGCTTCTCAAGTCAGCAATATAGGCCGAGACCCTTACGAAGAAATGAGCAATTGGTCGAGGGTCACACAGGGGTTCGTTTAAGGCGACCCACGAGACAACCTCTTCTTCCACAGTCGTCGGAGCCCCTGTAGTGGGCTTGTTCTCCGTCTCGCGGAGCCACATGGGGGCATAATAGTCCACCCCTCATCGTCTTCTCCTTCCGAGAGGGACCGGTTCGCCCGCCATTCAGCTAGGGCGGCCGTGTTTGGGGTGGGGTCACCCCTGTGCCACCTAGGCAGTGTAGTCTGGCCACCGAGGCCGTTCGTATCGGGGTTAGACGCTTCTCCGGAGTCTAATCTGTCCGGGTTTAA